CTGTCAGGAAGTACCATGCGGTAGAAGCCAATGGCTCTTTGCATCCTTCATGTAAGGTAAACAACAAGATTGCTTCAGACCAAGTACCCTCTATGTAACTTTCACAATTTACTGCAAATCAAGTGTCTCACATTGATTGCGTCCACACCTACCTTTGCTGAGAGACAACTATAAGACTACTTACAACACAGACACTTGTCAGAGTATTTACTATTTGGCTCCTTTCTGTGACATGGTTTGACATATTGAGCCAATCTGTGTTTATCTTACTTCATATCACTTACTACTTCCATTAGCATTAAATAACAATTGACGCTATAGCCCAAGAAATGATCTGGCCAAGAAATTTAAGGTCAGACGTGTGGCGTTTAATTTCTGTACAGCGTGGTCCAGAAACACTTTTAATTCTAGATAGCCAGCAGGTGGGCTTTCCCAGAAACTCAAGACATCTACTCTTAAAGATACATAAATGGTCACATGCCCCCACATAATCAGGGACAAAAAACTTCTGAGGTAGTCTATTCATACTCAAGAAATATTGGATATATTTCCTAAAAAAATACAAATACAATACACATCTCAAAACATAAAGATTCAAACACTAAGGATAGGATCTAAGGGATGGAACCAGCCACTGCCAATTATCTTGGCTTTCCCGAATGAGAGAGAAATGGAAAGAAAGGCCCAAGGATATCTGAGGCCACAGCTGTTTGCTTTTTCAGTTTATACTGTTCTAATGAAAAAACTAACAGAACAATAAAAATACAAATAACTATTAATGGAAAAAATAATCTTCAAACAGGCGAACCTACCCTGAGTAAGAGTTCACTCCAGTACCCTGGAAGATTGCCCGTTTTGTTTAGCTTGGGCTGACAAATAAGACTGCATTTGATTAGCCTGTCTCCTGATTTAGCTTTCAATTTCAGTCAGAAAAGGACTAGAGTACTGCATGATAGAGACATGCATACTTAATGATACTGAAAGACCAAATGGGGTCTCATTTATCCTATTGTATACCACAGGCAAGCTTTATTTCCACCATTTTATATTCCAAACTTGTTATTCTCAACAGCTACATGACATTGTGACACAAAATGCTTCTTGTTGTAGTCACCATCTAGATTGTGTGCTGCATGTTGGCAGAGGACAACACTCTCTTCTAATCCAAGTTCTCATGCTCCATTTGATTTGAACAAACAAATGAAGGAAACTGGGGTAAACATTGCTCACTTGAAGCAAATATGAAGACAGACTGAACAAGATGAGTAAGATTTCAAATTTAAGACAAAGGTAGGACTGAGAAGGCAAACTGAGAACAGCAACCAACTGAGGACTGAAATATACTTCATTAGACTAGTTTAGTTGCCTGTAATGGGAAAACTACAGTAATGCCACCAAAATCATGCCGTTCAATGAAAGGCATCGGTATCTTATTCCTCAGCTTTGAAGAAGGAGGAAAACCTTAGCAGTACCCCTCACCTACCCCAGGCATGTTATCAATTACTGAAAGTTTATACCATCCTGCCACCCAGACGTATCTTTGAACAAATCCACCCACAACATGATCTGGTCCTAAGATACCATCTAAGATCATTAGATGAAATCCCACAGAAAACAGTACACATACTACATTTGGGAATCTATACTGCAATGACATAATATCAACCAAGTACTGACAACAAGAAGAACCACATTAGAATATGCCTTTGGCCAAGGAAATACTAAGCTAAGCAGGAAGTATTTGTTTCACATTAGCTGTTATCACAGAACAAACATAAAACACTGCTTTGGAGAAATCCCCTTCTTCCCCCTCAAAAAGTAAAACATCCTATGGTTTATGAAGTATTACACATTAAAGGAAAAGTGGAGTCCAACTACACTTGTTTAGGAACAACATGCAATATTTCAAAGTATATGGGCCATAATATTCACCTAGACAAATGGGAACAGATGTGGAAAACAAAGATGAAATTAATAAAATGCTATGGACTAAAAAAAAATTCTACAAGATGATGTATAGATGGTACATGACGCCAGAAAGATTAGCAAAGTTGGAACCAAAATTTTAAAATGGTTGGTGGAAATGTCATCAAAAGATGGAACTTTTTACCATATGTGGTAGACATGTCCTAAAGCACAAGAAAATGAATTATAATTAATAAGAACATTGAAAACATTTAAAAAATTAAAGTACCCCTAAAGCCAAAAGCCTTTCTGTTGGGACCTACAAATTCAACACTACCAAAAATAATTCTGATATTGTTTTTATACACGGTAACTGCAGCGAGACTTGTTTGTGCTTACTATTGGAAACAAAAAGAAATTCCCACCCAAAATTTATGAAATACAAAAATGTTGGATATGGCTGAGATGGACAAACTGACTAGGCTTATACAATCGCCAGATCCTTTCAAATTTGAAGAATGGCAGACTTTTATTAATTATTTTTTAATGAAAATATTAGAGGTTTTTTTTTTTTACATTATTAAGGGGAAATCAGTAGTACAGGGATGTAGGAATAACAAGAAAAGAAAAAATAGAGAAGTTAGTGACAATAACAACAGCATCTTCAATTATATCCAAGGGATCTTGGAAAGAAGACGACTGCAGAGACAGGGTAGGAAGCGTTCGTTAGGTCTTTCTATTTTATATTTTTCTACTTTTCTATCTCCTTTGTTTTAAAACACTCTGCACCCACTTTTCTATCCTTTGGTTTTAGATTAAAAAGGAAATGCTGTTTTTTCTCTTTTCTTTTCTAACATCATAGAAACTTTTTTGTATCAGATAACAATGGAAGACGACAAATGTGTAAGATGTTAAGAATGCCCCTGTTCTATATCCACTCTTGTACCCTTCGCCATTCCTCATATATTCACAATAAATATTATATTAAAAATGCAGTCTTTCTAAAGACAAGCAGCTGAATATGCAGTTATCAGATATAATTAGATATGGCCACCTTTGCCCTAATTCTTGGACTGAACAAGGTTAAGACCCTTCAAGAGATTTACACAGCCACAGCAGATCGGCTACACTGCAAGTAAGGTAAGACCAAGCTACCTAGCTCAAGAACTTACAAATCTTCAGTAATCCAGCATTAGGAGACTATTTCTTAGGAAGCAAGTCATGAAATCTTCAAAATATTGTGATTAGAGCAAAATAAAGAACAAAATTAATTCACTTCCTTCTGAGAAACTTCACTGTAGATTCATGTGAGGCAGATCAGAGTACAACACAGAAGCCAGAGAGAGGTTGGAGAGCACATTCAAACCATAGGAACAGACTTAGGATGAACAAATTCTCACGACAAAATGTCAAAATGACTAACCAGCTTTTATTTACAAACCTCCTTGAAGACAGACACAGACCAAGAGAGGGCATAACAAAAGGAAAGCAACAGCCACCACATCCCTCCTCTACCAATCTGGATAGTTTCCAGCATCAGTGCTTGGGCTGGACAAAAGCAGGGGCACTTCTGTCATTTGCCAGTCTCAGGACATACCAATACTATCCCCCAGCAATGCTGGGGCACAGGGACTGGGCTCTGGGGTTAGCTCGGAAATGTCGCATCTGCTCCCCTTTCCCAGATGGGGCTGCTGACAGGGTACAAAGGCAACGGAACCTGGAATATCTTTTCAGTACAGGACAAAGGAAACCACTAAGCTTTGTCCATACCAGAGAATCCCCTCAATTGGTCCTGGGGCCTTGGCCTCTGCTTTCTACTCTTTCCCATTACTTTTCTGAAGGGCTTGGCTTTTAACATATAGTCAACGCAGCACAACACTCTTTCACCTCCAGACCGTAAGCTCAGATACTATGTGTTTCAGTCAAAATCTCTACATGTATTGATAAGATGGCCACAGCAACCCTTACTATTTCTGTCCGAGGGTCATTATCTCTTAGCTTGTATCAAGAAGGGTTAGGGTTGAGAAAACTATGGGGAGAAAATTCAATGATAGAAATGAATGTTTTACCTAGGATGATACTTTTATTCCAAACAATATTAATTTTGATGGCTGGTATACTTTTTAAGCGATGGCAAAAATGTAAAAGCAAATTTATTTGGCAAGGGAAGAAACCGCAAGTAGAAGGTATTACAAGATGCGGAGAAACAAGGAGAATTAGGTTTACCTCACTTTAAATTATATTTTGTGACTTCTTGTTTCGTTTGGATTAAGGAGCGGATGATGCTGAGAAATAAAAGACTATTAGAGTTAGAAGGGCACGATTTGAGATTTGGATGGCATTGACTTTTGTGGTACTAAAAGTCAAGTTTAAAGCAAATTTTAAAAATCATTTTGTAAGACATCCTCTATTGCAAATATGGAACAGATACAAACAACGATGTGCCTAAAATGTGTTTATGGGCCTCAGGACAATAATTTTTAATTAAAAATACCAGCAAAGACAGCTGACTGATGTACTAAAATTTGAAATGGCATTGGCAGAGTACAAAATTAAATCATGAGAGCTGCTAGAAGAAGTTGGATATGCTTTTCTGTGGTATTCTTATTTACAAATAATGAAAAGATTTTAAAAGGATAAAAAGTGTATGGCTTTGAATAGAGTAAATGAGAATTTGAATCAAGTATATACAAATGATGAGCATGTAATTACTAAGATGCATAAACAATTGTTGAAGTTTGAACTTCAACAGATGAATAATTTAAAATTGTATGATAAAATGGGCTAAGAACACTAATTACAATATAAAAATGGGAGAATATGTGGTCTAAGGGACTGAAATTTATATTATGTTATCAGCTTATAAAATGTGTAGTGTGAGTACCTCTGAAGATGCCAGCCACAGATGTAGATGAATGTTAGGAGAGAATGCTACTGAAGCATGGCCATACAACCCAAAAAACTCACAGAAACCTCTAAAGCCATTTCTAATGTATTCTGGAAATGTGAACAAAAAGGGTAGATTTAGTCATATGTGGTGGACATGTGAAGAAGCTCCCAAAAATGGATACAAATACCTTTGTTGGTACAGAGAATTTTAAAGACTAACACTTGATTAAAATCAGAACTGCTTGTTTTGGGATTATTAGGTGTAAAGTCATATGGAAGATTGCTCCAGTATATGACCATGGCAGAAGAAATCGTTGTATACTCAAAGATGGAAGAACTCAATATTATGGAGGAGTCTGTGGGAGAAACTGATATATTTAGCTGTAATGGACCAACTGCCCTGCTGATTAGAGAAAGGTCATTAGCGACAAATAGGAAACCCCTTATGGACTTTTTGCAAAAAAGAAAATTACGTAGTAACTTTTGGTATTGTTAATTAGGAGGAATTCATTTTAGAAAAAGAAAAACTGCATTAATATTACAGAGTGAGGCATGAATAATTATGTAATATGTATATCTGTTGTAATATGTAAAAGGACAAATGGGAGTAATCCATTTCTTGCTTTCTTTTCTTCCTTTCTCTTTCTTTCCCCCCTTTCCCTCTCTACTATCTTTTAGTGCTAAAATCTTTAATAAAAGAGAGAGAGATGACTATAGGGAGAGAGTAGGCCTGATTGCTCCCGATTCTTCTGCCTTATTCCACACTCCTAATCAGATGGGACACATATCAACTTCTCAATCATTACCAGAGCAAAATGTCATTTACTAAGGAAAAAGAGAAATCCTGGGCCCAACTGTAGAATGAAGGCAGGCTGCCTATGCCTGCTGAAGGAGGAGCAAGAAGCCAATCCTTCCTAGGAAATTCAAAGCCAACCCCAGGCGTGATCCAGATCAAAGGAGGAAACCAACACAAAGTCATCAAATTCATGTACCGGTGGCCACAAGCCAGCACTTGGGGCTGGGCCAGACCAAGCCACTTAGGATTTCTTAGCGTCCTGTGTATTCCGCCGCTTTAGGTCACTCAAGTCAACAGGTTTGAATGCTGTCAAAACAAGAGAAATGAGAGAGAGGCAACTTAGAGAACAAATACAGTATATTAGACTCTCATCACGTAACAATCACCACACTAAACACTAATTCAAACCATAGGTAACTGGTAATTAAAGTGTTTAACCTGGTTCCTCCACCGTCTAGTGTGACTCAATAGCCCATAAACTGTGTCAGCCAAAATCTAGGCAGTCTAAAATTTTACGCGGGGCTGTAACCGATGTTCAGAAGCAAGAAGTACTCTAGATAAGATTGGTATCTCACCCTAAGAAAAATAGGGATACTTGTAATTACACTATCAATCATTGAATTCATGGAAAGAAGCCTTATTAGTGCCTACTGGCCATAAGCGAATGTGCTACACTTTCAGGAGTATATTGCTCTTTCTTGGAGGCATCAAGCTGACCACTATTGGGATCTGAAAAGTGGATCAGCTAGATCAGACTTAGCAAGGCTCTTTTTATAGTATATGTTTAAATTTTTGTTCTCTGCTATCCCCTTGGCAAAGTTAGCATAGTACTTTTCTAGTTATTTATTTTATTTATTGTGTCAGAAGCGACTTGCAGCATACAACCAAACTTTTCTAGTGAAAGTGAAAGACATAAAGAGAGTTAAGATAACGGACAGTTTATATTATTATTATTATCATCATTTATTACTGAGTTACTGAGAAAGAAAACATAACCTGAGAAAGAGACAATATAGACATTTATTTCTGGAATAATATACACCAGAATCTAGCAGTCGTGCACTTTTGTTTTAAAAAAATACATTTAAGATTTAGCAGAGTGAAAAACAGTGAAGACTATATAAAGCTATAGAAACTTGTTGTCATTGTGTGTTGTGATTTTGAATACAATTAACACTAATAATAATAATAATAATAATAATAATAATAATAATAATTTACACCCTCCCCAAAGGATACCATGTTATCAAACCAGAAAAAACTAATACAAACTTAAACGTGAAAAGGAAAAAAGAGAAGAGGGCAGTTGCAGTTGGGCATATTAGGTCTCCTTTCCAAATGCTTTTCTGAACAAAAGCAGGAGTGCAGGAGAGAGGAAGACTGCATGGCAAGGGGTTGGAGTGGATGGCCCTTGTGATCTCTTCCAGATCTATGATTCTATGATAGTAGGAAATGCACTGCTTGTGGGAAGAAATTACTGGGCCAGGGACCAACTTCTGGGAAGATCCTTTCCCATTTAGCCATCTGCCTCATCTCCAACTATAAAGAAACATAGCAATTGATTTCAAATTATAGTCTGAATGAGCAGGGTAGGTTAATATTGGAGATTATCCTTTACACATAAAGTAAATCCCAACAAAGATGGCAAAATGTAAGATTTATCTGCTGTATCACTAAGACTCATTCACATTTCTGAACACTCTTCAAAAGCAGCCCTACATATAGTGCACTACAACAAGATGAATGTCACCAAACTGTGGATAACCATTGCTAAGTCAGACCTCCTCATGAAAGGTCACAAAAGACTAAAGGAAACTCACCCTTCAAAGTGGGGTTTGGCATCTTCTCCACATATTCTTCCACAAGTCCTCGCTCACCACCTGCCATCTGATTACGAAGATCGCGTTCCACACACTGCCATGCTGCAAAGAAGAATAGAGCAATAATCTCGCATGGAGATTAAAGAACCTTCTCTTTTGGCAAAACTACTGCTAGCCATTGGAAGACTAAAAAATTCCATCTTTATTAATGGAAGCATCTTTAAGATGCAAGAAAAGCAGCAGCTAGAGAGGGTTTGCAATGGGGGCTGTGAAATCAGAGATGGGCCTGACATGCAGAATTTTAAAAGCTTGTCAAGTCCAAGTGTCAAACTTACATCTGATAGACTGGCTTTTATGAGGCTCATTTTCAACCATTTCTCTCAATTGACACAAATGGTATTTAAACACATACGTAGGAAAAATGTTAGTACTAGAACTGACAACAACATGAGAAAGATAACTGAGTCAGGGATAGGGTAGCATGCAATGTTGCAATTTCCACTGTTGCACCTGAGATGCAACAACTGCTGTAGTCAGCCTCTGCACATGTCAAGTGCTGTACCTTCATAGATGAAGCGCACATTCTCCTCATGAGCAGGAGTGAAGATCTCGCTGCTATTGCTTGGAGAGCGAGGACTGCTGTTCCGTTTCCCATTGTATACAACCCTGGAGACAGGAGAGCTGGAAGAGATGAGAAAATATTGTGATCAGTTCTACAAATAAAGAAAACAAAAGAAGTTGTTTCAAAGCAAATATCTAGAGGAATAATATTGTGATTCTTTAGATCTGAAGGTATCCTTAAATATTTTGGACTTCTACTCCTCAAAACCCCTGCCAGTATAAAATATAAGAGGAACGAACTATAGTGTTAACAGGGTTGTTGTAAGTTTTTTGGGCTATATGGCCATGTTCCAGTTGCATTCTCTCCTGATGTTTCGCCTGCATCTATGGCAAGCATCCTCAGAGGTTTGTACAGAGGTCTGTTGGAAACGAGGCAAGTGGAGTGTATATATCTGCAGAATGTCCAGGGCAGGAGAAAGAACCTTTGTCTGTTTGAAGCAAGTGTGAATGTTGCAATTAGCCAGCTTGATTAGCATTGAGTAGCCTTGCTGCTGCAAAGGCTAGCTGTTGTTGCCCGGAGCCGTTTCCAACAGACCTGTGAACAAATCTCTGAGGGTGCCTGCCACAGATGCAAGCGAAACATCAGGAGAGAATATTGCTGGAACACGGCAAAAAACTCACAGCAACCCAGTGATTCTGGCCATGAAAGCCTTCAATGACATATAGTATTAACATATGGAAAACTGGACCAGCAGTTCCCAAACATTTTTGGTCATGGAACCCTTCCAAAGATTTTTTTTCTACTCATGAAACACTAACCATGTTCCTGATTTTCCTGCAGAACTCTAACTCTGTCTCTAAACAGTGAACCCACAAACTTCTTTCATCTACTCCTATTGCCTTGATGTTTTGTATAAAGTAGTTTTGAAAAAAAAAAAGAGATTCAAAATTCATTTTTAAAACAGAGGTACATTGAATTTCATTAAGATCTTCATACTCTGGCATAGATTTCTTAACAAAAAATTAAAAAATATTGTAAGTATTTTTTGTGGTAGGCCGATTATGATGATGATGATACTTTGTTTGCATTCCACCCTATCTTCTTGAGGGAACTCAGGGTGGATTCCAGCATACACAAACACAAAGGCCAACATTCAGTGCCTAGAAACAATAAACACAGATAAAGGTAAAGGCTTCCCCTTCCAGCTCTGAGAGGTGGTGCTCATCTCAATTTCTAAGCCGAAGAGCCAGCATTGTCCATAGACACCTCCTAGGTCATGTGGCCGGCATGACTGCATGGAGCGCCATTTCATAGAACCTTAGGGTTCCGCGAAACACAATTTGGTCTCAACCAGTGGTTCTCAACCTGTGGTCCCCAGGTGTTTTGGCCTACAACTCCCAGAAATCCCAGTCAGTTTATCAGCTGTTAGGATTTCTGGGAGTTGAAGGCCAAAACATCTGGAGACCCAAAGGCTGAGAACCACTGGTCTAAACCCTTTGGCATTTTTGAGGAACTGTGACAAAGTTCTTTGCTTCATGCTCACAAACTATATTCTTGTGTAGAAAGCAAAAAAGCAACTTGTCAAAGTATATCCATTGAACCGAAGTAGATGGCGGGGAGGTACTAGATGGTCCATGTGGTCTCTTCCAACTCTATTCCTCTATTATTCCATGATTACAATTCTTGTCACAGACACTCTTCCAGCATTCCCCTACACCTATTATAGCAGTGGTGCCCAACCAGGTATTTTGGACTTCAACTCCCACAAATCCTAGCCAACTTACCAGCTGTTAGGAACTGTGGGAGCTGAAATCCAAAACACCTCGAGGCCCAAAGGTTGGGAACCACTGTATTATAGGAAGTACTACAGCCCAAATCAGTGTAGATCCAGATATTTCTGACAACCATCTTGCCTTTGGCACTCATTGCATTCCTTCTCACCTTGTCATGGCTGAACCTTGAATGGCCTCGGCCCAAGCGCTGGATATGCAGAGTGGGTGATGCTAGAATAAAGACAGGCATTGAGTGCACAGGGAAGGAATCTCCCATTCACCCTGGGGAGGTGGGATTCTCCAGTGGCTGAAAAGAACCTCAGGTTCCCTGCATCCACCTTGGGCCTGACAAGAGGGGGCCTATGGGGTGTGCCAGGCAGCGAGGGGACACCCAGCATCCTTCCTCTGCATCCCAGCACTGAACTCCCGGAGCAAGTCACAATAAAACCAGAAGCCTCTCAAGTATATCCTACCCAAAGGGTGCTTCTCCTCTTTCATAGGCCTCTGATTCTCAAAAATTCTTATTTATCATAATATTAGCAGCATTAGCATCACAAAAAGCTTCCCTCAACATAACCCATCCTCATCCCAGATAATGGGGGGGGGGGGGGGGGAGGGGGGGCACCTTTCCTCGGGGAGGCTGTGGAAATCCCTCCCCCCCCCCCCCCCCCGCCGCCGCCTGTCCGCCCGCCGTCCTGCCTGCGCTCAATCCCCTCCAGGGCCGACGTGGGGCTGGCACTGCCACAGAGAGGGAGTATTTATTTCCAAGGGAGGCGGCGGGGAGCAGTTTATGGGGGCCGCCGTGCCCGCAGCGGGAAGGGGGTGGGCCGGGCTGGTCCCCCCAGTGGCTCCCCTCCGCCAAGCCCCTTCACCTGGGCCGGGTCAGGGGCCTGGTCCAAATCCCGGTCCCGGCTTCTCTCGCTGCTGCCAGGCCCCGGGCGGAAGAGAGCGCGCCTAGGCCGGGCCGCGCGTGCGCACTGCGGGCGGATGGGTTCGGGTACCCCCGCGCCGTGGACCCGAGGGAAGGCGTTCCCATGGAAACGGGGCGGCCGGGCAGGGCGCGGGGAGGGAGGGAGGGAGGTGGAGTGGTGGCCATGGAAACGGGAGGCAGGGGCGAGCGCGAGGGGAGGCTCCTCTCCTGCCCCTTAGGCCTAGCACAGGGATCCAAGGGAGGAAGGGGCCCAACGCCAGCCAGAATAGGAGGGAGAACCAGCACATCCACAACCAAGGCCCCATCTACTCTGCCATATAAAATCCAGATTATCCGCTTTGAACTGGATTATATAGCAGTGTAGACTGAGGGGGGAAAGGAAGGCCTGAGGCTGTGAGGAACTGTGGGAGTCCAAAACACCTGGAGGGACAAAGTTTGCCCATGCCTGTAGTAGACCAATTTTCTACTTTTACTTAGGCAATGCCTCGTAGCTCGAGGATGGTGATTTTCCAGATGTGGTGTCTTGGCGGTGGGTCCGTAGGTGGCCGTGGAGCCCTATTCTTGATCCGCATGTTTTCTCGCAGTGAGGGCATCGGTTTTCAGACGGAAGGCGGTCCTGGTCATAGTTGGCCTGATGTGCCTTCCTCTTGACACGTTTCTCCCTTTCGCCCTCCATTTGTGCCTGTTCAAATTCTACAGCACTGCTGGTCACAGGCGCTTATGGGCCAGGGCTTCCCAGTTCTCGGTGTCTAAGGTAGACCAATACTCAAACCACTGCACCAGCTTTACAATTAAAAATAAGCACATATTTAATTTCTTTTTACAGTACAGTAAAAAGTCTCGTTGTCCAACGTAAATGGACCGGCAGAATGTTGGATAAGCAAAAATGTTGGATAACAAGGAGGGATTAAGGAAAAGTCTATTAAACATCAAATTACATTATGATTACGTTATGATTTCACAAATTAAGTAACAAAGCATCATGTTTTACAACATATCGAAAGAAAAAGCAGTTCAATACACGGTAACATTATGTAGTAATTACTGTATTTGTGAATTTAGCACCAAAACAGACAAGGGTTCTTGTTTTTTCCTCTCACCTTGGACTGCGTTGGATAATACAGAATGTTGGATCAGCAAAGATTGGATAAGCGGGACTCTACTGTATGTGGGATTCGGATATCAAAGCTGGTTTCTATAGCATCACAGAATTGGGAGAGAGGCTCCAAAGGTCAGTATAACAAAAGACGCAAGGCTGAGGGCTTATTAATATTATGCCCAGGCAGGATGGATCTTCCCAGAGGTTTTCCTTTCCTAATTTTTTTTTTTTTTAAAAATCCCACTCCTGTGCCTCCAATATGATAGCGAGACGATGATGGAGATGTGTTATGATGAAGTGAACACTGCTCGTCTTTAAACTTTCTTTTGAATTAAAGCTGACACCAACCTAAGGTGTGTTAGGATTTTTTCAAGAACAGGGAAAAAAATATTCAAAATGAACTTTTCTCACTCCTGCCAACACTGCTTTTATCCCTGGTTCCCAAACAACCGTTTGTTGAGAGGCTTTTCTGTAGTACCAGGGTGTTAAAATTGCTGGAACTATCACAAAGGCTTGACAATGGAGTGATATACAGTAGAGACTTGGTTGAAAGTCAAATAGAATAAGATTTATTTTTAAAACAGTCAACTAACCACTCCTGAGAGATACAAAAAGCGTGTCTTGTTACAAAAGTACTTCAGCTTGATTGGCTGCTTGAACAGTTCTCTTCACTTTGTTCCAGCCAGAGCTAACCAAACAGAACTAACTGTTGTTAACAAAACCCTCGCTCTCTTTCAGAGAATAGCGATGAGTCTGACTCGCCTATCTAGGTAGCCCCTGGGTTATTAACTAACTCTACCCTAGAGTTCTTCCTGTTAACTAACCCAGCCTGGAGAGCCAATCTCTTGTGTTAAATCTCACAAGAGATCTGACTGCTGTCTGACGTTTTTCCTGCCAGCTCGCAGCACTGTCTAACACAGACACTCTCTCTCCTAGCTCTCTCCCTCAAACCCAGTTTCAAACTCTACACCTTCACACACCAGCTCCCAGCTCTCCATTCTCACTGAAGCTACCTTCTTTCCCTCCTCCCAATTGCTCTGGCTCCTCCCAATTGCTCTGGCCAATCCTAGGAGTCTCTAAACTCCTCCCCTCTTTCAACCATCCTCACTCAAGATGGCTGCCTCTCTGGCATTCCCTCCTAAAATGGAGGCCTGCCTTACTGTTATCCAGGCTCCCTTTCCGACCTACCAGGTAAAATTCACCACAGTCAGCTAGTCCAACTATGCAGGAATCGACTACTCAAGGCACCCCATTGAATTGCTGCTTAAAAACACCCAATGAGGGATTTTCTCCACCTTCCAAAAGAGTCTATTCCACTATCTCTTATGGCCAGAAAAAGGTTTCCTGATGTTCCAGGCTCATCCACATATTTTGTTTCTTTCCACTTTTAGCTCAACCCAGTTCAAAGCAACAAGGATTGCTGCTGCTAAGGTCATTTTCACATCTGACATTTTAACATTTTTAGCCAGTCTCCAGTCCGTAGCTAGGCAGTTTAGAATACACATTCAGTAGAAAAATGTCTCACCTCTGCTTTCTTGATTAACTACAAAGCCTTTAGGGTTCACACTTGGCATAAAGAGCAGGACAAATATATTGATAGTTTTTTTCACAGTGACAGTTTTTATCCTTGATGTTCACCTGGTGTCTCTAGTACAAGGGAGCTTGCCCTCCCACATTCCTACATTTATCTGAGAGTAAATCACATTGAGCTGAAAAATACTTCTGATTTGATAGGCCTATGGGGTGGACTCTTTAGATATTAATTTTATTTTTGAGTGTATTTTCATCACTGTATTGTCTAAGGTAAACTCACAGTAACCCAGGTTTTCATCACTATTTGTCCATTCAAGATCATGTAGTGGACACTTTTTAAATCTCCATGTGAATTCAACATTAATTTTTCAGCTAACCCTTCAAAAATCATCTGAATGTCTGTGGTCAAAGCAGCCTAATGCACAGAAGAGTGTGTATATGGTAATTATACTTAAGCATTCTTTTTGTGACATTTCTGGTTGTCTTAATATTGGCTGAATATGGATTTAATTTTTAAGGTTTTTTCCCCCCTTATAATGACATTGCTATAGATTTAACTTTGACCCCCAAATCAACACTGCTAAGAGCCTGTACAAATCAGAGCCCAACAAATGTCAAATAAATGCATTTATTTTCTTGGGTTTGCTATCCCCCCCCCCTCTGCTTTTTTTACTAGGGTGGGGGGAAAGCAAAGAGGTCTGCTGGGTGTTGAGGTTATATCTTGTTCTTGGAGAATCTTGTTCAGAACTTCTAAGGTTGTCCGACTGGTCATTGCCCAGGCCTATTAGTTGTTATCACAGCCATAAGTAACTGAAGAACATCATTAAATAAAGATGACATTCTCCAGACATTGAACTGTGACTGCCCATATATTTATGCAATCAACGTCATCATTTTTTCTCTGTTTGTTATTTATAAAGTGCTTTCACTAAACATGTTGCTATACAATAATAAGCAAAAACAGTTCTATGCATTCAGGTATGCAATCTAAAGACAAAAAAGGGCGCATCTACACTGTATAGAATCATAGAATCATAGAATCAAAGAGTTGGAAGAGACCTCACGGGCCATCCAGTCCAACCCCCTGCGAGAGAAGGAAAGGAAAAAAGGGAGAGGAAGAGAGAAGAAGAAAAAAAGAAAGTGGGAGTGTGTCCTTGATGGAATATTCCAAAGAAAAGAAAAACACAACGAGGTTCCACTGCTGAACAGCTCTCACAGTCAGGAAGTTCTTCCTCATGTTCAGATGGAATCTCCTCTCTTGTATTTTGAAGCCATTGTTCCGCGTCCTAGTCTCCAAGGAAGCAGAAAACAAGCTTGCTCCCTCCTCCCTGTGGCTTCCTCTCACATATTTATACATGGCTATCATATCTCCTCTCAGCCTTCTCTTCTTCAGGCTAAACATGCCCAGTTCCTAAGCCGCTCCTCATAGGGCTTGTTCTCCAGACACTTGATCATTTTAGTTGCCCTCCTCTGGACACATTCCAGCTTGTCAATATCTCTCTTGAATTGTGGTGCCCAGAATTGGACACAATATTCCAGATGTGGTCTAACCAAAGCAGAATAGAGGGGTAGTTCATTACTTCCTTAGATCTAGACACTATGCTCCTATTGATGCAGGCCAAAATCCCATTGGCTTTTTTTGCCGCCACATCACATTGTTGGCTCATGTTTAACTTGTTGTCCACGAGGACTCCAAGATCTTTTTCACACGTACTGCTCTTGAGCCAGGCGTCGCCCATTCTGTATCTTTGCATTTCATTTTTTCTGCCAAAGTGGAGTATCTTGCATTTGTCACTGTTGAACTTCATTTTGTTAGTTTTGGCCCATCTCTCTAATCTGTCAAGATCGCCCTGAATCCTGCTCCTGTCCTCTGGACTATTGGCTATCCCTCCCAATTTGGTGTTGTCTGCAAACTTGATGATCATGCCTTCTAGCCCTTCATCTAAGTCATTAATAAAGATGTTGAACAGGACCGGGCCCAGGACGGAACCCTGCGGCACTCCACTTGTCACTTCTTTCCAAGATGAAGAGGAAGCATTAGTGAGCACTCTCTGTGTTCGTCCACTTAACCAATTACAGATCCACCTCACCGTAGTTTTGCCTAGCCCACATTGGACTAGTTTCCTTGCCAGAAGGTCATGGGGGACCTTGTCGAAGGCCTTACTGAAATCCAGGTACGCTACATCCATGGCATTCCCCGCATCTACCCAGCTTGTAGCTCTTGTGGCCGTTAACAATGAAAATAGCTTAACAACTTTACCTGGCTCTTGTAACTTCCAAGCTATCAGTGCTACAACCTTCAATAGTCTTGCATTTCCATCACTATAAAATCTCACATAACTGAAATCAGGATTCAAAGGCATTCCTTTTATACTTCCTATTAACTTTCTAGCAATATACAATGGGTGATCCCTGTTGTCCAAGTAAGATTGTTCTCCAAGTGCGGTGTCCTGGCGGTGGATACGTAGGTGACTGTGGAGTCCTATTCTTGACCTGCAGTGAGGCCATCGGTTCCAGCTGGTAGGCGGTCCCGGTCGGGGTTGGATTGATGCACCTTCCTCTTGGCATGTTTCTCTCTTTTGCCCTTCATTCGTGCTTCTTCAAATTCTACAGCATTGCTGGTCACAGCTGACCTCCAGCTAGAGCGCTCAAGGGCCAGGACTTCCCAGTTCTCTGTGTCTATGCCACAGTTTCTAAGGTTGGCTTTGAGCCCATCTTTAAATCTCTTTTCCTGTCCTCCAACATTTCATTCTCCATTCTTGAGTTCGGAGTAGAGTAACTGCTTTGGGAGACAGTAAGCAGGCATTTGGGCAACGTGGTAGGTCCAATAGGATCCTGCATGAAAATCTACATTGAAATTTCCAGTCTGTTGACTTGCCTACTTTATAACATCTAGAAGCAGGAAATGTCACATATTGGGACATGAATGCTGTTCTGTCTCCATGACAGATACTTGTCCCTTCTTTCCCTGTTGACAGTGCTAAGAAGACATCAAGTGCCAAATGTCCAGGCAGAGAATTTCCTGTGTAAGTACCCATTCCTATTTCTCACTACAGAGATATCAGCAGCATCTATGCAGAGGAAGCTTCCTAACTATTACTATGATTTGCAGTCTGGGAAATCCCTCTTCTGCACATAATAGAAGGAGCAAGCTCCTCTTCATTGCTTCTTGGCTTTTTGGTTTCTGGTTTTGCCAGTTTGTCAGCAGGGGTTACTACGATTGCAGCCAGAATACTACTTCCTTCATAACATCCATATAACAATTGGCTTTTGTTTGTCCACATTGTCAATCCAAAGATAATTGTGAACTGAGCAAATCTGTTCACAAAGGGAAGCCTTTTATGTTCAGCTAGTGCTGAGATTGCCTCCATCTGCTATAGTCTCTATCTGCTTACCCAGTCTATTATGCAAATGTCAGGAGTCATGGCGGCCACATACTTCCTAGATTTCAGTACTAGATTTCAGTATTGGAAAGAAGCTTTTCTCCACCTTCCCACTAACACATATTCAAAAATAAACTATTGTTTTTACAGGCAGAAATGAAATTCTGTTCACAAGCATTTTCCAATCTCACTTTATACAGCAGGGTGCCGGCTACCATTTCAGAAGGCAGGCTCTAA